AAATTGTTGTTTTAGGTATAGAACTGGTTCTCTCATCAAAAAGTAAGCTTTCCTTAAACTGCTTTAGACTTATGGTTTTCTTCAATGGAGTTTCAGTTTTTTATTCGATTTAAGGCAGTGTTTCTTTCTTCTCCTCTTCTTTAGGAATAATTTCTTATGGTAATTACACATGCTTTTCTTCTTAATGAATAGGTTCTGGTAATCTTTGTGTTTTTTGTCCCCAAAATCGATCAATCATTGATAAATGTGGAATTTATTTATCCTTATCAATCAAATCTAGAACTCTGGTGGAATCTTATGTTAATCGAACATAGTATTTATTGTTGATTGGTAATTGATCATCCCTATAACGTGTAGTATTTGGAATTTTCTAATGAATCAATTTATAGTTTTTCGATGACATTCTTTATTAATTATATAAATTTTGATGGATTAAATTTCAGAAAAGCGTAGATAGAAAATTGAATCGAGAATGAGTGAGCAAGATTTAAAAGAAGCACAATAAATGGATTAGGCAGAAACTTAGGAAAGCCAATACAAACTAATCCAATAAATCAAAGCCAAATAATCTTAATACAATAAGGGAACTATTTATGTTGCAATTTTGGTTTCAGTAGTCACTGCATTGTTTCAATTATTAGGTAAATCAGTTGAATATGTAGGATCAAAGCCATAATTAGGATAAATTTGGATCACTGCTTAGATGATTTTGCTTATCATTCATTACTAATAAACCAAGAAATTAGATAAGAGATGTAAATTTGCAGATTCATAATGTAGTGAACAATGATGAATTGTCATCAACCTTAAGGTCATTAGTGGGAAGCAATTAATTTATCTTGAATATTCTTAAATATCTTCAATTGGCCTTGACCTTTTTTAGCTATTTCAAGAATGTTGTAGTTGGCTTGGCAATTTCATAAGTTGTGTTTATATTAATTATTTCGATTGCTTGAGTATTAATCAATTACAAAATTCGATTCAAATATAAAATCTATTTGCTTTCAATTATTGAGTGATCTCAAAATACTCATTATTTATTATCTTCTTTTACGCATTGGAATTCCATATTAGTTTAATTTATAAATGTAAATTAACCTAATTTCATAATTCATAATTGAATCTAAAAAACTTTGAATGTTATGAGATTTTAATAATGGTTATTGTATATTTTATTATAGATCATATTATTTCAATGGAATATGAAACCGTGTTCGTTGCCTTTGAGTGCATGCTATATTTTAGGTTGAACACATGCTTCAACACATGTCACCAAATCTCTATATGGATACATCTATTTAGAGAATAAATGTTAAATGTACACAATTCTTCTCGGGATCAGCATTTTTCAAGGATAAGAATGCCTTTACACATCTGTCGTATTTATCATC